CAATGTTACTGAAACGCGGAGATAAAGCGAGTCCGACTGGGATTTTGACATCGGGGACGAGAGCCGAATGTGGGACTGTGGCTGTTAGCCCGGGATGTCTGGAGCTAGTGCTAGCTCTGGGCTATGAGCTCCAGCTGCAACTCATCCCTCTGCACCCGCTTTACCAACCCGACACTTCGTGCTTTCGCCATTCCCGGTGTCCGGGTTGAACTCACTACTCATCTCTTTGCTACAGTTTAACATTCTCCCTGTCATCAAACACTGACACTTCACCCACGGAGAGCCCTCTGCCCCGGGCCTGAGAAGTACACAATCCTGGCAGACGGAAGTCCCGTAGCCTACTCAAGCTGGACAACGGTGCCGGTAGCCGGGCAGCCGACTTAGCAAAGCAACCGCTCAACAAGACCTCATTTCTAAAACTTGTGTGTTTTCCCCCCTACATGTTATAAAGTCATAATATAAAGTGGGGCATAGCCCCGATGAGATGCTGCTCCGGTGAGAGGAGTCTTGTGGCTCCGGTGGTGTTTAAGTAAATTCACCTCCCTGTCTCCCTCCCGCATCTGTGAGCGACCTGAGCGGGGATTCAATGAGAGCAGCCCCGGTACACCAGGAGAAGCCCGGCACCATGTAGCCGATGGTCCCCACCGTTTTTATACTATAATAAAACAACAAGCGTCCCGCTTGACTCCGGGGAGGACCGTACATGGTGCCGGGCTTCTCCTGGCGTACCGGGGCTGCTCTCATTGAATCCCCCCTCAGGTCGCTCACAGATGCAGGAGGGAGACGGAGAAGTGGATTTATTATCTAACCACCGGAGCAGCGTATCGCACTTTCTATTATAGGCAAAGACGACGAGACAAGCCCGGCACCATGTACGGTCCTCCCCCGAGTCAAATGGGACGTTTGTTTTTTTATTATAGTTTAAAAACGGTGGGGACCATAGGCTACATGGTGCTGGGCTTCTCCTGGCGTACCGGGTGATATGATATAAGTGATATGAGTCTCATGGCTGTCTTTGTATAACTTTTTACATTTGAATGTGTCATGTTGAAGCTTTGACGAGATGGTCCACACGTTTCACCAGCTATGAACATCTTTGCATTGCTGACCTGATATGTGCAGTTTGTGGCAGTGTGCATTGTACAGACCTGAACAGGGATGAAGATGATGTAGATGCAGACTCCAGTCAGGGCCGTGTAGCCCAGAATGAAGCAGGCGTAGATGACACACACGAAGAAGAGCACTGGAGAGGAGAGCACAAAGCTCCCAAACAACACCGCCTCAAACAACCGGTAGCCATCATTGGTCAGAACATTTATCATCTGGACAGGAGGCAGAGAGAGGTAGGGGAATATATGCCTTGGTAACACTTCATATTAAGGTGCTTGTAATAAGCATTAATAATAGTTAATAAGTCACTTATAAGACCTTATTAGATTCTTATTAAGTTAATAAAGCTCCTCTGCAGATACTGGATCTAAAGTGAGTGTTCTCACTTTAGATCCAGTACCTCAAGTGAGATTCATAAATACTTTATTATATACTTATTAACAGTTCAGTGGGAACAGGGTCCAACTTTCAGGTAAACACAGAAACTAAAAGGAAGTCTGTTAAAATCGGGTCCACTTAAACAGAAAAAAATGCTACTACAAATAAAAGTATTATCTTTAATACCTACATCATTCGGGTTAGGGTTACATCATACCTCACTGTGTTCCTGGACTACATCATTCCTCCCTGTGTTCACTGTGTTCCTGGACTACATCATTCCTCCCTGTGTTCACTGTGTTCCTGGACTACATCATACCTCCCTGTGTTCCTGGATCATACCTCATTCTGTTCCTGGACTACATCATTCCTCACTCTGTTCCTGGACTACATCATTCCTCACTCTGTTTCTGGACTACATCATACCTCACTGTGTTCCTGGACTACATCATACCTCCCTGTGTTCCTGGACTACATAATTCCCCACTCTGTTCCTGGACTACATCATACCTCACTGTGTTCCTGGACTACATCATACCTCCCTGTGTTCCTGGACTACATCATACCTCACTGTGTTCCTGGACTACATCATACCTCACTGTGTGTCATGTCCAGCTCAGGGTCTTAAGTTGTTTTTATTTCTATCTTGTTTTATTTTCTGTTTTGGGTCACTAACTTCTCCTCTCGTTTCAGATCCGTCACTTCCCGCCCTCATGTGTTTCCCACCTGTGTGATTGTCTGCTCTAACTGTGATGGTCCACATGTTTTAACCAGTTATGAAAATCTTTTCATCGCTTAGCTGAACTCATATGTGATCATTAGTGTGAGCAGTAGCAGTATGGCATCTCACATTAATGAGAGAAGTTCAGCCGATGTCTATGTTTGTTTGGTGCTTTTGAAACTCTTGGGATCTGAGATAAATACATAGACAGCTTGAGAAAATAAGTGGAAATGACCTGCATCACAGGAAAACTGAGTCACCAAAATGGATGGATGCATGTACGCTTAGGGCTACAGTACTTCATATAAAGGAACTTCCACTGTGTATTTTCTGAACTCCACTTTTTTAATGCCAGCTTATCAAACATTCGATATTCTTAGAAATTCAAACACGATGATTCAAACCCTAGCAGAGAAATGTTGGTACCCTGCTTTAAATGTTGACTCTTCTGAGTGTAAGCCTGATTACCTCTCCCATTGACACGCCGCTGTGCACCCGCAGAGAGATCACTTTCTGGTAAGCCATTGAAGAGAAGGCACCCTTTATTCGGACTGCTGTACGCAGGTTCATCGCCCATAGTAAGGATATAAGGAAGGCTTTCATGAACTCTGAGATGAACAAACCAATGGCCAGACCAACACCATGATACACTGTGGAATCCCCTGGGTTATCAGCATAGTTTAGGAGCTCATAGACCAGAACAGCCTAAGAGGAAGGAGAGGTTGATACATTAGAGTGTTAAACATTCAAACACTAAGTTGTCGTGTTACTGAGGTCTCTGTGTAATCATAACGGGGTCAGCTCTACATTTACACAGTGTCATCAATGAAGCATTGTTGTTCAGATACTCTGGTTTCATCAGTAGCAGTCCAATAACTTTACAATAAGGCAGATACCAGGGGAGGATTCAAAGAAGGTGAAAGTGGTATAACAACACTTACCGGGCCAATAAATGCTGCCAACATAGCAAGGATACCAATAAAGACGGAAAGAATCAGCCTGGTTCTCTGAAAGCGAAAAACCACTCGAACCAAAGAGGCCTTCTCCAGGCCCACTTCTGCCACTTCTTCCTTCCAGAGTCTGTGCAGCCTGAACAGGAAACACATTGAAATCAATTCTTCTAGCTTTGTTAATAAATGACTAGAGTCATAGTTGCTGTGTGCATGTGTGTGTCTATGAGAGCTCCTGTGTGGTTGGTTATTTTTATGTTTGATTTCATTGTACTTTGTTGAATTGCTATGTGATGTGTCTTATTCATGGTGGTACAAATGATTGTTTAATCCATGTATTCTTAAATTTGAAAGCACATTGATGTTACCTTTTAATGGAATGTGATCTTTAAATAAGATTATTTTTACTAGAATAACTATAACTAACTATAACTATAATAACTATCACACAATGTTTCACAACACATTCCCTATGATTCAATGGTTCCTGTTTTTCAGGGAAGACACTTCTTATAGGTAACGTCAGTAAAGATATCATGGTAAATTAATGTCTGTGACAGCCAACGTGCAGAAGATTGTCGGACCTTTCTCCACTGCTGTCGGCGGAATCAAAATGAGACAAGTTGAGGGAGTTCATGTCCAGCCTATTTCTGAAAATGGCCCACATCATGGGTGTCATCCAGACGAAGGTGGAAAAGGACAGGAAACCTGCATTGTCTATAGGGTGTGGACTAGACAAGGAAACATAACATGATATTAACTCTGCAGTGGTTTAGATGTGTCATAGCCACAGTCACAACATGCTCAAAGAAATGCATTGAATGTGAGTTAGTAAGTCCTCAAAGACACTGACTTTGGTGAGGACCAGCGGAAAGGTAGGAGGGTCTGAAGGCTTTGCTGGTATTTTCTGAACAGGGAAGGTTGAGCTGTTTGGTTGTTGTCCAAACCCGAAGGTTCTGGATTGGAGGCCAAAGTTTCAGTGTTCTTACGGAAATCATCTTCTGCCTGAAGAGTCATGAATATGGTATGTAAAAACAGATAAGAATCAGACAAGCAGAGCTTTTAGATGGACAAAAGGCAGATCAGACACCTTCAGAATAAAAGCACAGGATGTTGGAGAAACAATAGAAGAGGAAAAGATCGCCTCGTGGTGGAAACTGCTGTTTGTTTATACTTACAAAAGAGACTCCTTGAGTTCTGCTGCTCTTCTCTAAAGAATATTCTGTTTTCATTTTGTCCTGTACGGGGGCAGCAAAAATGAAAATGTTAATTTTTTAAATGAAAGTGATTTATTTTCTTGATGTTTGTATTGGAATTTTCATAAACTTGTTTTTTACAGCAATTAAACTGGTAAACTGGTTTTGCATTTCAGGAATCCCTACCAACTGGTAATGGACATCTTTTAAGAAAGGTTTGATTTCCTCTAAGCAGAAACTCTGATCAATTGTTCTAGTGTGTGTAGGTGTGATTGCTTTCTGTAGTGCTTGTTGTTTCAAAAGTTCTTTGATGTATTGGAGACTGTAGAAGGTTTCTCTTTGTATTTAAGGTCAGTATGAAGAAACTTTCTGGAGAGACAGATTAGAATTTTCTCCTCTCCGTGATCATGTTCATGAAAGGTTTCCTGGATCATATTATGTTGTGTTATGATTTCTTTAGAGAACTAGAAACTCTCCTATTTTTGGAATACATTTTTTCTCACATGTTTCATTTCCTGTGTTTTTCTCTTGACTCTGTGACTGATGACATACAGCGTTTAATAATAGGAACTTTCTTCTGATTGGTCATTTGTGGAGGTGGTGCAGTATGCCTTTAAGGCTCCCGAGAACTCTGATTGGCAGAGTGATGCGTGTGTGAATCCTATTAGTAAGTCCTGTTTCAACTTCTCTCCACTTTACATCTGAATCCCCTCCAAACTTTAGATATTCAGTCTATCTTTATATATTTAGTCTATCTTTATATATTCAGACATTCAGTCTAACTTTACATATACAGTTTAACTTTAGATATTCAGTCTAACTTTAGATATTCAGTCTATCTTTATATATTCAGTCTAACTTTATATATTCAGTCTACCTTTAGATATTCAGTCTAACTTTAAATATTCAGATATTCAGTCTAACTTTAGATATTCAGTCTACCTTTTCAGCTCTGTGTCAGTGTAACTTCTGCTTCACATCTGTGAATGTCTATAACTAGAAGCACAGAGTGAATGGGTTAACATCAGGTCACTGCTTTGATTCTCTGGTTCAATACAATTCAATTTAACAAAATGACATAATCAAGTTTATAAAATAAGTGACTAAATGTGCATTAGATATATAGATAGAAATAAAACTGACATACCGAAAAACCTTGTCAGTCATTAGTATAAATCCAAACACCTGAACTAACCACAGACAGGAAAGAAGAACAGATTGAAACTAGTTAGGACTGACTGAAGACAAAATTTGCCCCTAACCCCAGCAGAGGACTCAAAATGAAACAATACCTTAGTGTGGATGAACAAAGCAGCCTGTCAACACTGACCCCGGAGCTCACTCTGGAGAAACTTTCCCCCTGCTGTTACATAAGTTTGCTTTTATAGCGATCAAAGGTTGGCCTGCTCAGAGGTGATTGTCCCGGCCCATTCATTGGAAGACAAAACAAAGGGGTTAGAATCATTGACAAGCTGTTGGGCTGTGTTGTTTTAGGGTTAAGGTTAATCCTTTCACAGTTTGTTGTCTTTTTTCATGTGTTTGGGATTGTGATAGGCTGCTTCTGTTTTTCATCTCGATTGGACTTCCTGTTTCAATAAAAGTCAAACAAAAGAAGTGTTGGGGTTGTATCAAGTCAACTTTGGTTATATTCTTTAATAATTATATTTAATTATTAATAATATAAATAACAATATCATTAAACTATGTTTAATCAACTCTTGGGGCACCACCCTGTAATCAGGGAAATACAACCAAAATATCACTGAAATCAGTTTCAAATTAGTTATTCAATTACTAATATTATTAATGTGTGTGTGTGTGTGTGTATGTGGATGAGAGAGAGAGAGAGAGAGAGAGAGAGAGAGAGAGAGAGAGAAAACAAGATGGTGGAGAGAGACATTTTGTCACCATGTGGCTTCGTCACATGGTGACAAAATGGTGGACAACAAAGGAAGCCATGTGGCTACCTTTTGAAATAGTTTGAGCACTCTGAGCTGAGTTCAGTAACTGTTACTTAAACACCAGAAAGCCAGTGGCCGGACTTTGATTCAACGGCGGAAACACTAGTCTTTCTGATTGTGAAAGCCGTTGACTGAAGGTAAACTAGCATAGCATTAAACACATAGACGAACACAGCAGTTCATTACAATAAAACAAATGCAGCAGCTTACAACAGATAATAAACAGAATGTGACGTGTTGTCAACAATGATGCATAATTATCAGTGGTTATAAAATAAATAACTATTTCTGAAACTATTTCTGCCCAGACCAAAGCTCTTACTTGGGGTAACTCCTGGTTATCGTTGCAAAGTTGATTAGATCGTCACTCTGTTGAATGTTAAATCAACAGATTCAGGCAGGTTTCCTTCAAGGCAGATTCAGGAGGAGGGAAGCGGGATTCAGATCTTTCAATGACGTCTTATGAAAAATCAAAGGAAAGAAACTCTTCTTTTTGCTCGAACCTGATAGCATCTGATTGCACCCAAAACTCCGAAAAATATGCCGTGGAAATAGTCAGCTGAATCCTCTGATGCTTGAATTCAGCATGTGAAGAGCTACCTAGACTGAACAACCTCAGCTCTGGAGTTTAACCTATGTAAGTCAAGAGGAGGAAAGGCTTTGTCTCGAATGCTGGAGTCCATCTTGTTGGAGAGTTTATCCTCGGGTGTCAGCAGACAACACTTGAAGAGAAAGAAGCAATGCCTGGCGATTGCTTTTAAAGACTGGAACTGTCTGTGGGTTAACCTCAAGGCCTCCTCCAATGAGGATAGAGAATTCAGGCACCCCCCCACTTTTCACACCTATTTGTTAGTTGCTGTTGGGGGTTGGTGGGCTAAAAACTCCTTTCTATAGTTCCCTCCAAACTAACTATAGTCAGGCTTGAGAACTGCAATACAGGCCTGAGTCCTTTGTCCAGCACACATAGCTGAGGCCCAACAGAAGTATACATGAATAAGTCTTGGTGTGTGACAGCTGTGATTTAAAGCTGATGTAAGATGAATAATTCTGCAAATGAAAGTGTCAGAAAGCTTCATGATTTTGAGATGGCCCGCAGACCACATTTGTTCTGACTGAATATAAAGTGCTAAAGACTGTCGATGTAAATGTTAAACATTTATCATCTGTCTCATTTGGGTGTTTTGTTTCACTTTCATTTGTTGATTGCCTTCCAATAATTATTATTGATAATACTGATTTTAGGGAAAGGCCAGGCACAACAGTGGAGGCATCGGGATGGTCTTTCTAAACTTCAGTTTTATACCAAAGAAAACTGGGCTCATTGGATTTCTGTGATTCTCATCTTTGTTATCTAGTCTAAACAACACAAAGCCTGTTTACAACCTGCAACAACAGAGACCATCCAAAGTTAAGCAGAGTAAGAGTTCACATGACCCCTTTGACCCCTTCAACAGAGGTAAACAGAGGCATCTCTAAAACTTGTTCAGGTCTCTGAAAACGAAACAGGGAGTTTGAAGATCTTAGACAAAGTTAAAGGTGAAAGCATGGAAACACATTCAGCCAGAATTCTTTGTTAATGATGTAAGAAATTAAACAACAGGACCTGACACAAATAAATACACCATGTTCAAAGAAATGAGGGCCAACCTTGAAAGGAAAAGCCAACCAATCACAGTCCTGTATCCAGTTACAGATGGTATGACTTATTGTCAGATGATCACACTACACAGAACACTTTCAGACGAGATAAAACGTTACTGCAATGATCTGATCAAATCTGAAAAAAACCGTTTGATTTGAATGTTAGCCCATTTACAGTGACAAAAACTAAGAAGAAAATACGAGAGGTAAAAAAAAACAAAAACATGGAGTTCAAGCTAACAAGGCTGAGGCTTGTGAAGAAAACATTAAACAGATCCTGATATGGCCATTGGCAGTGTTTAAAGACTGAATGATGGAAAATAAAGTGTTGACAGGTCACAAAATATCAATTAGGGGCTGCAAGGGTTCAACAGTCACGTCACAATTAACAGAGAAATGTTCATGTTTATTTATCATTATTTGTAAGCATGGTTCTTTTAGGAAAGTGTAGTTAACTTTGAATGTAGTTTTAACTGGAGAATGTGAAAGATGCTTTCGTTCTGCCACACGATTACCTCGTGGTATTTTATCCCAAGTCACCTGCCACCTTGATGCAGTTGACATTGTGTCTCTCAAAGCCACACAATATGTCACCAAAGTATAGTGTCAGGAATTCACTGATGAACATTTATTGGAATGATTCCTGAGCAGCCATGCCTCAGAGAGACTTTTGATTCAAGGTTTCAGTGGAACCCAACGCTATTCATGGTATCACGACATCTCTACACACAGTTATTCATTATATCTCAACCAATCAATCTTTATTTGTATAGGGCCAATTCAAAACAAATTTTTATCTCAAGACACTTTCACTTTCCATTAGTATTAACTCATCCATTCATACCGATTCACACGCTGATGGTAGAGGCCGCTGCGTAAAGAGTCCGTCAGTATTAACTCATCCATTCATACACATTCACACGCTGATGGTAGAGGCTGCTGAGTAAAGAGTCCATCAGTATTAACTCATCCATTCATACACATTCACACGCTGATGGTAGAGGCTGCTGTGTAAAGAGTCCGTCAGTATTAACTCATCCATTCATACACATTCACACGCTGATGGTAGAGGCCGCTGAGTAAAGAGTCCGTCAGTATTAACTCATCCATTCATACACATTCACACGCTGATGGTAGAGGCCGCTGAGTAAAGAGTCCGTCAGTATTAACTCATCCATTCATACACATTCACACGCTGATGGTAGAGGCCGCTGTGTAAAGAGTCCGTCAGTATTAACTCATCCATTCATACACATTCACACGCTGATGGTAGAGGCCGCTGTGTAAAGAGACCGTCAGTATTAACTCATCCATTCACACACATTCACACACTGATGGTAGAGGCTGCTGAGTTAAGAGTCCGTCAGTATTAACTCATCCATTCACACACATTCACACACTGATGGTAGAGGCTGCTGAGTTAAGAGTCCGTCAGTATTAACTCAACAGCCCCCCCTGCAGGTGAGACGTGGTAATGCATTCTTTGTTTTGAAAGGATGGGTTCGTTCGAATTGTCCCTCCTGTCTCCTCTCACGATCCACTTCACCTTTAACCCCGGAAGCATTTAAGTGGCGGCCATGATAAGAACCGTTCGAATTCTCTAAAAGTTAAGGAAAGGTGGGTCAATGTTTCCTTTATAACCTCCTTTAGGATACACTGGTCCATCCGTTACGAAAGGAGATGAGATATGCCGCCCCACAATTCCTTGCGTTTGAAGCGAGTCGCGCATCCGACAATTCACGGAAATGAACGATGATCGTAAAGTGACACAGATCATGTAAGGGATAAAAGATAAGAGACATTTTTATCCAGATGATGTTTTATTCCACATATTTCAAGTTTCAACACGGCAGACCCACGTCATTAACCTCCGCCGGCCCGTCACATTTAATGACGTGGCCTAGTGGAAATGTGGTCGGATTGTCAGAGCAACGAGATCGCCTTTCCCTAAGTCCTTTATGAATTCTCCTAACATCTTTCCTTAACCTCATGACGTTTTCCCCGGGGTCAAGGTGAAGAGGATAGTGAAAGGAGATAGGAGAGACAATTCCAATGCACCCTCTATCTCAGTTTAACCTGACACAGCCTACAGCCCCCCCCCCCGCAGGTGAGACGTGGTAATGCATTCTTTGTTTTGAAAGGTTATATCTCAGTTTAACCTGACATAGCCTACGTATAACTCAATCTCCAGTTATAGATCTAAACACTGACAAACTGTACCATTAATAGGAGGAACAGCACAGCCAGTGGTGGGCGGCAGCGTTACTGTCGAGACAGAACATTTGACCGGCATAGTGCGCATGAAGTGATGACATTAATAACAAGTAGGTTAAGCAACTATAACTGCCGATGGTATCAGTTTATGGATAGGGTGGTAGTTTGTGTTTTAAGTGTTAAGTGAATAAACTAACCTACCTTACCTTGACCTACAGTGACATCCACTTTCATCCATCAGTCACATCCTGCTCCAGGTTTCCTCCCATCCTGAGTGTTTGTCATGGACCTTAGAGAGAGAGAGGTCGAGATAAAGCTGTGATGATAGAGCAGCCAAATACACCCACTGACAAACAGTGTGTGTGTGTGTGTGTGTGTGTGTGTGTGTGTGTGTGTGTGTGTGTGTGTGTGTGTGTGTGTGTGTGTGTGTGTGTGTGTGTGTGTGTGTGTGTGTGTGTGTGTGTGTGTGTGTTTAAAAGGCTGATGGGTGTAAAGCTCAGGGGTTCATTCTCAGTAAATAAGGATGTTTACTTAATT